GCATGCGGCTGATGCAGGTTGGATGCTGGTTGGATGCATGTTGGATGCAGGTTAGATGCATGTTGGATGCATGTTGGATGCAGGTTGGATGCGGGTTGGATGCATGTTGGATGCAGGTTGGATGCATGTTGGATGCGGGTTGGATGGATGATGGATGCTGGTTGGATGCATGTTGGATGCGGGTTGGATGGATGATGGATGCAGGTTGGATGCGGGTTGGATGCGGGTTGGATGCATGTTGGATGCATGTTGGATGCATGTTGGATGCATGTTGGATGCATGTTGGATGCAGGTTAGATGCATGTTGGATGCATGTTGGATGCAGGTTGGATGCGGGTTGGATGGATGATGGATGCTGGTTGGATGCATGTTGGATGCGGGTTGGATGGATGATGGATGCGGGTTGGATGCAGGTTGGATGCGGGTTGGATGGATGATGGATGCTGGTTGGATGCATGTTGGATGCGGGTTGGATGGATGATGGATGCGGGTTGGATGCGGGTTGGATGCGGGTTACCATGGAGGAGATGCCCTCCTCTCCCTCCTTGCTGTTCTTAGGAGGTTTCAGGAGGTTCTGCAGGAGCTTGCTGTGTCTCGCCAGCTGTTGACCACAGAGGAGAGATTCCAGAGTTCTTATCCAATGAGATCGACTCCCTGAAAGCTACAGCAGTTCAGGAGCCAATCAGAAGGCTGCATTAGTCACCTGCTGAGCCAGGATGTAGATGTTGTGTCCGACTTCCCGAGAAGACACCTCCACCTCCACGTCCTCGCACTCGCTGTCCTGCTGGTAGGCCTTCTTTATCACGTCCACCTGGAAACACACAGTCAGTCTGAACCGGATCACCACCGCTTCATTCATGGACGGCTGGATCCGGTTCTGACCAGTTCTCTGGGCCTCAGGTTAAACAGTATTCTCTCAGCATTCTCGTTGTCATGACGACTCTCCATCAGCGCCAACAGCAGCTTGGAGGCGTTGTCCTAGCAACCGGACAGAAAAACAAAAACAGGAAAACATCTGGAGCAGATAAGTGATTGAGCATTTTTAATTTTCTATTTTTGGTTGTTTCCATGTTCAGGATGTCCTTCCTGTCCTTCTCCAGGATCCAGGTACCTTGAGCTGCAGAACCATCTCCATCCGGTAGCGACACAGCGGGCTGATGTCATTCAGGATCAGAGCAGTGATGATGTCGATGCCGTTTGACTCGTGGGTCACGATGCACGTCTGCAGAATGCAGAAGTTCATGGTGAGCAGGTTTCCTCCCATAACCAGAAAGGTTCTGATCCCACCGCAGTGGAAGGGTTAGAAACGGCTCCATCAGTCATCCAGGTCTGGTTCAACCTTCCAGGTGTGTCGTAAAGCTGCTGCTGCGTTGCTCTAATGAGGCCCAGACGTGCGACGCCAAAGGTGAGCACGGCTGAGGGAACCTAGTAGGTTCTTTATGAAGCAGGACAAGGATTGACTGGAAAGAACCAATCAGGGCCACAAACACTCAGATCAACAGGAAAGCCCAACGACTATAGAAAGCTCCTGTCACGCCGATTTATCTGCCTGACGTCCCAGAATCTCCTGATCTCTGAACTTTCTATGGATTCTTTCTATTCTGGGCGTAAACATAGAGGATTCATAACGAGACCAGAACTTCTGTCATTCAGCGTGATGCCCAGGAAATGATGCACAGCGTCCTGAGGGGGGCAGCGATGCGCCCGGAGGCGCCCGGCCCGCAGAAAAAGATTTCTTTGATCGCGGTATTAACCTAGCTGCTGTTTACCGCCCGCCAAAAAGAAAAGAATAAATAAATCCGGTTTCTGGTGTCAGCAGATTGAGCGTCATGTCTGCTAGGAAGTGTGTTGGTGGTGGGCGTGAACGCAGGGAGGATCCATCACTAACCTTCTGGCTCACCCTATGATGGGGATGAAGTCTGGAGGAGAACTGATGGTTCCCCCCCTTTATACCAAAACGCTGCCAATACGCCATTATACAGTAGCTGGAAGTTAGAAACACGTTCAGCGCTCGTCTGGAACACGGCAGATACGCTGATATGTTGGAGAGAAGTTCTGGATAAGATGGAGAAGATGGCTGCTAAGTTACTGCTGACGTTTATTTAGTTTATTATGGCAGGCTGTTTTACTCTCTGTTGTTCCAATTGTAGATCACTAAAATAATCCTTCCGTCTTAAAGCTGCCAGCTCTGACTGCAAACGGAGCGGCCATGCTAACTATTAGCTTCTGCATAACAAAGATCAGGCCTGAATCCTGATTGTTATGGAAAGTCAGAGCGTAGCCCTGAGAGTAAAGAGGTCAACCGCCACCAGAATGATCTGGAAACAGGAGGTCTGCAGTAAGGGTAGCTCTAGCTGGGAGGCTAAGCTAATATCAGGGGACATGTTAGCTGAGCTGAGATCAGACTGATCATTAATTATATTATAAACACTGAAGATTGTTTAGGAAGGAAGGACCACTGATGGGAGGCACCTGGTTCTCCTGGCAGGGGCCCTGGCAGTACTCTGTGAGGGTCTCCAGGGTCTGGATGATGAGGTGGACATTGGATTCGTTGATGTAGAGGCCCAGCAGGCCCAGCCCCCCGGTGGTACTTCCACACATGATATCCAGGAACTGCAGAGTCTCACACACCAAGTTATAGTTGGTTTTATTTTTCTGGGAACGCAGGAAGTTCTGGAAACACAGAACAGCAAAATCAGATCAAAGTGAGAATGTTGGACCATCTGTAGTTGGTAGCAGGACTGGTTAGTGGGTCGGCCTGTGGGTCCAGGTTAGTGACCCCGCTTATATAACGATGGTGATCCAAACTTTCCCACCTGCAGGTCATTGTTGTGGTTTTCACACAGCAGCTGCAGGAACCTCAGGATGGGCTTCATGATGGTAACGGCGGGTCCCATCTCCGTCTCCACCTCCTGCTGCTCCTCAGCCGGCTGAGTCGGCAGGGCGGCGGCACCCGTTACCGTGGCGATAGACTGGCCCTGCACCAGCAGAGGGTGACCTCCTGATCCAGGAAGAACCATTGATGTGGAACCACCTTCACCAACACAAACATCTGTGAATCACTCGCTAAACCACTGCAGGCGTAGATCTTCAGAGTTTAGATCAGCCGCTCTCAACCTTGGGGCGGCCGTAACCCGGCAACAGCAGGAGCAGGCTTCACAGGCCAGCTGAATATTTGGCTACTTAAACGCGATAAAAGTAAGGTTCATTACATTTATATTAAATTAGATCATTTTTATTACTTTAATCCATTAAATCGAAACGCTGTTTGATGAGGTTCTGATCTGAGCATCAGAGATCCTGCTAAGATGGCGTCCTAACGAGGCCCTTTGGGCTGCATGAGGAGGTCTGCAGACTGATGATCTGATGGCGTGTGAAAAGGGGGCGGAGTCTCACCAAGGCTGAGATGTAGGCTGCAGACCTGACCTGAACCTACCCGCCTCCAGCTCTTTCTCGTTGGCCTTGTGCGTCATTTCACCAACATTCACAGAAACTGTGGCTTTAATGTCCATCTGAGCTTCTTTCATCCGGTCGTGCAGAACTTTGAAGAACTTCTCGGACTTGTTGTCGCCCATCATCAGTTTGTAGAAGGAATTCTGCAGATAAAGAGGAGAACATGGAGGTTTCCTGATCCATCCAAGTGATTAGATACAGTCCATACATCTGGTTTCCTAACTCGCACTGAGCTCTGGGAGGTTTTATGGGACAGTTTCTGTTCCCCCTCCTTGTCTCTGTCCCCTTTGTCCCCTGTTAGATGGAGGTCAGACCTGAAGGAGCAGGTCCACCGTCTCCATGGTTGTTTGGGACCTTCTCTCTGGTCTAAACTGAAACCAAAAGATGTTATCCCTGAAAACCCAAAACCTCCTGCGACTTGAAAGAAACCAAATCAGAAGAAGAAGCAGCAGCTCTGCTGTCGTTGTTCAGGAGACATGGAATGTTGGAGTGAAGACGATGAGCTGCTGCAGGCGTCATGGCGCCCCCCTCTGGGCAAACCCAGCATCTCCATCTAACCAGCAGACCAAGGCAGAGATCTGGAGTCTTTCACAGCACCTCCATCCTCTCCATCAGAGTGGAGAACATCTTTAGACGTCACCATTGGTGGATTTCACAGCTTTCTGCTGGATGTTCAGAGATCCAGCTGAAGACCTTCAGCTCAGACCATGGACCATAAAGTCGTCTTCATGTTCTCTGTCCAACCCTGAGATGTTCCCCTCATCTCATCATGCTGTATTAGACTGTTTGCTGTTTTTAAAGAAGCAGAGAGGTCCTGTCATACCTGGATCTCCGTGTTCCCTCCCTCCAGCAGGCAGATGGCCAGCTGGATGCTCTCCTGGAAGATCTTCTCATTCTTGGAGCTCATCACCAGGTCTGTGAACAGCTTAGTCCCTCCCTCTCGGTCCAGACGGCACTGGATGGCCGCCACCGCCGCCCAGTCCCGCTCCTGTTCGCCAGCTGGATCACAAAGACATCATCAGACAAACTCAGTGACGCTGACAGAGTTAGAGCTGAGGAGGAGCGTGTTTATTTCTGGCTCAGTAAAAAAAGCCTCTTTCTTTTTTCCATCCCTTCCACCATAATGAACTTTTTGAAGAGTTTCAGTCTGGCTTTAGAGCTCATCATAGCACTGAAACAGCTCTGGTGAAAGTCACTAATGATATTCTCATGGCCTCAGATAATGGACTTGTATCTGTGCTCGTCCTGTTGGATCTCAGTGCTGCATTTGATACAGTTGACCATAATATTCTTTTAGAAAGACTTGAATATTTTGTTGGAATTAAAGGAACAGCTCTAGACTGGTTTAAATCTGATCTATCTGATCGAATTCAGTTTGTTCATGTTAATGATAGATCTTCAACACGCTCAAAGGTTACCTGTGGAGTACCACAGGGATCAGTGCTAGGACCAATTCTCTTTACTTTATACATGCTCCCAATCGGTAGAGTTATTAGACAGCATGGGATTAATTTCCACTGTCATGCTGATGATACCCAGCTATATCTGTCTATAATCCAGATGAAGCTAACCCATTACATAGATTACAGGCATGTCTGAAGACAGAAAAACCTGGATGACTCTTAACTTTCTGCTTCTGAATGCAGACAAAACAGAAGTTATACTCTTTGGACCAGAGTCTCTGAAAAAGAAGCTGATTAGTCAGTCACTTCAAATAAAGCCTGAAAATAAATGAGAGTAAAATATTTTCACCAAACTCTGAAAGATCATGAAGTTCTGCAAAAATCTCACTGTTTTTTCTCCTGATTGTGTTGATTCCAGCCGGCCTGCAGCGCTCGTCTGAAATGAGGCCTTTAGGAGGCTTTTACTGTGAAGGGGCAACAGGAAGTCCCTCCATCAGCAGCAGGTGTGAGTGTGAAGGAGTTACCTGCAGCTCCCAGTTCAGCCAGCTCGTTCTTCTGGTTGGTTTTCTTGTTTGAAAACAGGTAGTTCTGCAGCAGAACTTTCCTCAGCGCCATTCCCTGATCGGATGAAAAACCGCCTCAGTTCTCTACTTTCACACCATCGACACTCATTAAATAACGGACTCAGCTCAGACTAATGGATTACGCTTTCATGTTGACCTTTGACCTGCAGGTGGTTCTCTCACCTTTTCATCAAAGTCCAGAGTTCTGATGAGCATCTCCTGCAGCGTCCTCAGGACTTTGATGCACAGCTTCTCCTCTGATGACATCAGCGCCTTGGTGTGCTGGATCAGCCTGCACAGCAGACACATCCTGAACATCGTTTCCCATCATGCCTCTGGTGACCGAGCGTCTTAGACCCAGAGGACCTACTTGGAGATGAAGCCTCCGGACTCGCAGCGCTGCCGGGCGTCCGTTCCCTCCAGGAAGAGCAGCTCCGGCTGATGGAGGACATCCACCAGCACAGAGAGCTCAGCGTTCACCAGCGGCTTCAGACGGTCCTCCAGGGTGTTGATGATGTCCTGAGGAGGACATCAAAGAGGACAAGTTCCAAAGACCCAGAGAACGCCAGGAGTGAAACCTTCAGGACAGCAGAGCCTGCAGCTTTACCTGCAGCTTCTCAATGATGTTCTTGTAGTCCCAGGGGTTGCTGGAGGTGATGGTTCTGGAAGAACGGGTGGAGGACTTGTAGTTGGGGTTGGAGCGAGACAAGGTGGCCTGAGCCAAGCTGGACAGAAGGTTGTTGATCTGGGCCTCCAGCTCCAGAGGGAGGGAGATGGAGCGGTTCTTAGCTGGAAACAGGAGGAGGGAAGAAGGTCAGTTTAATGACAGAACCGGCAGACGGTGGGAGGAGCCTGGGTTCTCTAAAGGCTGATCGTTTACAGGTAAAGAGTCTCTGATGAAGTAAATAGTTTAGGTTAGTTTTATTATAACAACACTGAGGCTCTGGATCAGAAAGGTCAGAGCAGGGGGGCTCCTAAAGTCCTTCTCTGACTCTGCTGTAGCATCAGCCATCTTCTATGGAGCAGTGGCTCATCTGGAGCTGAGATCAGCTGATCAGCAGCAACATCTGCAGAAACATCTGCAGGAGCATCTGCAGAAACATCTGCAGCAACATCTGCAGGAGCATCTGTTGCTGCAGATGTTGCTGCAGATGATGATGTTGCTGCAGATATTACTGTGAATGCTGTTGCAGATGTTGCTGCAGATGATGATGTTGCTGCAGATATTACTGTGAATGCTGTTGCAGATGTTGCTGCAGATGATGATGTTGCTGCAGATATTACTGTGAATGCTGTTGCAGATGTTGCTGCAGATGATGATGTTGCTGCAGATATTACTGTGAATGCTGTTGCAGATGTTGCTGCAGATGATGATGTTGCTGCAGATATTACTGTGAATGCTGTTGCAGATGTTGCTGCAGATGATGATGTTGCTGCAGATATTACTGTGAATGCTGTTGCAGATGTTGCTGCAGATGATGATGTTGCTGCAGATATTACTGTGAATGCTGTTGCAGATGTTGCTGCAGATGATGATGTTGCTGCAGATATTACTGTGAATGCTGTTGCAGATGTTGCTGCAGATTATGATGTTGCTGCAGATATTACTGTGAATGCTGTTGCAGATGTTGCTGCAGATGATGATGTTGCTGCAGATATTACTGTGAATGCTGTTGCAGATGTTGCTGCAGATGATGATGTTGCTGCAGATATTACTGTGAATGCTGTTGCAGATGTTGCTGCAGATGATGATGTTGCTGCAGATATTACTGTGAATGTTGTTGCAGATGTTGCTGCAGATGATGATGTTGCTGCAGATATTACTGTGAATGCTGTTGCAGATGTTGCTGCAGATTATGATGTTGCTGCAGATATTACTGTGAATGCTGTTGCAGATGTTGCTGCAGATGATGATGTTGCTGCAGATATTACTGTGAATGCTGTTGCAGATGTTGCTGCAGATGATGATGTTGCTGCAGATATTACTGTGAATGCTGTTGCAGATGTTGCTGCAGATGATGATGTTGCTGCAGATATTACTGTGAATGCTGTTGCAGATGTTGCTGCAGATGATGATGTTGCTGCAGATATTACTGTGAATGTTGTTGCAGATGTTGCTGCAGATGATGATGTTGCTGCAGATATTACTGTGAATGTTGTTGCAGATGTTGCTGCAGATATTACTGTGAATGCTGTTGCAGATGTTGCTGCAGATGATGATGTTGCTGCAGATATTACTGTGAATGTTGTTGCAGATGTTGCTGCAGATATTACTGTGAATGCTGTTGCAGATGTTGCTGCAGATGATGATGTTGCTGCAGATATTACTGTGAATGCTGTTGCAGATGTTGCTGCAGATGATGATGTTGCTGCAGATATTACTGTGAATGCTGTTGCAGATGTTGCTGCAGATGATGATGTTGCTGCAGATATTACTGTGAATGCTGTTGCAGATGTTGCTGCAGATGATGATGTTGCTGCAGATATTACTGTGAATGCTGTTGCAGATGTTGCTGCAGATTATGATGTTGCTGCAGATATTACTGTGAATGCTGTTGCAGATGTTGCTGCAGATGATGATGTTGCTGCAGATATTACTGTGAATGCTGTTGCAGATGTTGCTGCAGATGATGATGTTGCTGCAGATATTACTGTGAATGCTGTTGCAGATGTTGCTGCAGATGATGATGTTGCTGCAGATATTACTGTGAATGCTGTTGCAGATGTTGCTGCAGATGATGATGTTGCTGCAGATATTACTGTGAATGTTGTTGCAGATGTTGCTGCAGATATTACTGTGAATGCTGTTGCAGATGTTGCTGCAGATATTACTGTGAATGCTGTTGCAGATGTTGCTGCAGATGATGATGTTGCTGCAGATATTACTGTGAATGTTGTTGCAGATGTTGCTGCAGATATTACTGTGAATGCTGTTGCAGATGTTGCTGCAGATATTACTGTGAATGCTGTTGCAGATGTTGCTGCAGATGATGATGTTGCTGCAGATATTACTGTGAATGTTGTTGCAGATGTTGCTGCAGATATTACTGTGAATGCTGTTGCAGATGTTGCTGCAGATGATGATGTTGCTGCAGATATTACTGTGAATGCTGTTGCAGATGTTGCTGCAGATGATGATGTTGCTGCAGATATTACTGTGAATGTTGTTGCAGATGTTGCTGCAGATGATGATGTTGCTGCAGATATTACTGTGAATGCTGTTGCAGATGTTGCTGCAGATGATGATGTTGCTGCAGATATTACTGTGAATGCTGTTGCAGATGTTGCTGCAGATGATGATGTTGCTGCAGATATTACTGTGAATGCTGTTGCAGATGTTGCTGCAGATGATGATGTTGCTGCAGATATTACTGTGAATGCTGTTGCAGATGTTGCTGCAGATGATGATGTTGCTGCAGATATTACTGTGAATGCTGTTGCAGATGTTGCTGCAGATGATGATGTTGCTGCAGATATTACTGTGAATGCTGTTGCAGATGTTGCTGCAGATGATGATGTTGCTGCAGATATTACTGTGAATGCTGTTGCAGATGTTGCTGCAGATATTACTGTGAATGCTGTTGCAGATGTTGCTGCAGATATTACTGTGAATGCTGTTGCAGATGTTGCTGCAGATGATGATGTTGCTGCAGATATTACTGTGAATGTTGTTGCAGATGTTGCTGCAGATATTACTGTGAATGCTGTTGCAGATGTTGCTGCAGATATTACTGTGAATGCTGTTGCAGATGTTGCTGCAGATGATGATGTTGCTGCAGATATTACTGTGAATGTTGTTGCAGATGTTGCTGCAGATATTACTGTGAATGCTGTTGCAGATGTTGCTGCAGATGATGATGTTGCTGCAGATATTACTGTGAATGCTGTTGCAGATGTTGCTGCAGATGATGATGTTGCTGCAGATATTACTGTGAATGTTGTTGCAGATGTTGCTGCAGATATTACTGTGAATGCTGTTGCAGATGTTGCTGCAGATGATGATGTTGCTGCAGATATTACTGTGAATGCTGTTGCAGATGTTGCTGCAGATGATGATGTTGCTGCAGATATTACTGTGAATGCTGTTGCAGATGTTGCTGCAGATGATGATGTTGCTGCAGATATTACTGTGAATGCTGTTGCAGATGTTGCTGCAGATGATGATGTTGCTGCAGATATTACTGTGAATGCTGTTGCAGATGTTGCTGCAGATGATGATGTTGCTGCAGATATTACTGTGAATGCTGTTGCAGATGTTGCTGCAGATGATGATGTTGCTGCAGATATTACTGTGAATGTTGTTGCAGATGTTGCTGCAGATATTACTGTGAATGCTGTTGCAGATGTTGCTGCAGATATTACTGTGAATGCTGTTGCAGATGTTGCTGCAGATATTACTGTGAATGCTGTTGCAGATGTTGCTGCAGATGATGATGTTGCTGCAGATATTACTGTGAATGTTGTTGCAGATGTTGCTGCAGATATTACTGTGAATGCTGTTGCAGATGTTGCTGCAGATATTACTGTGAATGCTGTTGCAGATGTTGCTGCAGATGATGATGTTGCTGCAGATATTACTGTGAATGTTGTTGCAGATGTTGCTGCAGATATTACTGTGAATGCTGTTGCAGATGTTGCTGCAGATGATGATGTTGCTGCAGATATTACTGTGAATGCTGTTGCAGATGTTGCTGCAGATGATGATGTTGCTGCAGATATTACTGTGAATGTTGTTGCAGATGTTGCTGCAGATATTACTGTGAATGCTGTTGCAGATGTTGCTGCAGATGATGATGTTGCTGCAGATATTACTGTGAATGCTGTTGCAGATGTTGCTGCAGATGATGATGTTGCTGCAGATATTACTGTGAATGCTGTTGCAGATGTTGCTGCAGATGATGATGTTGCTGCAGATATTACTGTGAATGCTGTTGCAGATGTTGCTGCAGATGATGATGTTGCTGCAGATATTACTGTGAATGCTGTTGCAGATGTTGCTGCAGATGATGATGTTGCTGCAGATATTACTGTGAATGCTGTTGCAGATGTTGCTGCAGATGATAATGTTGCTGCAGATATTACTGTGAATGCTGCTGCAGATGTTGCTGCAGATGATGATGTTGCTGCAGATATTACTGTGAATGCTGTTGCAGATGTTGCTGCAGATGATGATGTTGCTGCAGATATTACTGTGAATGTTGTTGCAGATGTTGCTGCAGATATTACTGTGAGCAGATATTACTGTGAATGCTGTTGCAGATGTTGCTGCAGATGATGATGTTGCTGCAGATATTACTGTGAATGTTGTTGCAGATGTTGCTGCAGATGATGATGTTGCTGCAGATATTACTGTGAATGCTGTTGCAGATGTTGCTGCAGATGATGATGTTGCTGCAGATATTACTGTGAATGCTGTTGCAGATGTTGCTGCAGATGATGATGTTGCTGCAGATATTACTGTGAATGCTGTTGCAGATGTTGCTGCAGATGATGATGTTGCTGCAGATATTACTGTGAATGCTGTTGCAGATGTTGCTGCAGATGATGATGTTGCTGCAGATATTACTGTGAATGTTGTTGCAGATGTTGCTGCAGATGATGATGTTGCTGCAGATATTACTGTGAATGCTGTTGCAGATGTTGCTGCAGATGATGATGTTGCTGCAGATATTACTGTGAATGCTGTTGCAGATGTTGCTGCAGATGATGATGTTGCTGCAGATATTACTGTGAATGCTGTTGCAGATGTTGCTGCAGATGATGATGTTGCTGCAGATATTACTGTGAATGCTGTTGCAGATGTTGCTGCAGATGATGATGTTGCTGCAGATATTACTGTGAATGCTGTTGCAGATGTTGCTGCAGATGATGATGTTGCTGCAGATGTTGCTGCAGATATTACTGTGAATGCTGTTGCAGATGTTGCTGCAGATGATGATGTTGCTGCAGATATTACTGTGAATGCTGTTGCAGATGTTGCTGCAGATGATGATGTTGCTGCAGATATTACTGTGAATGCTGTTGCAGATGTTGCTGCAGATGATGATGTTGCTGCAGATATTACTGTGAATGCTGTTGCAGATGTTGCTGCAGATGATGATGTTGCTGCAGATATTACTGTGAATGTTGTTGCAGATGTTGCTGCAGATATTACTGTGAATGCTGTTGCAGATGTTGCTGCAGATGATGATGTTGCTGCAGATATTACTGTGAATGCTGTTGCAGATGTTGCTGCAGATGATGATGTTGCTGCAGATATTACTGTGAATGCTGTTGCAGATGTTGCTGCAGATGATGATGTTGCTGCAGATATTACTGTGAATGCTGTTGCAGATGTTGCTGCAGATGATGATGTTGCTGCAGATATTACTGTGAATGTTGTTGCAGATGTTGCTGCAGATATTACTGTGAATGCTGTTGCAGATGTTGCTGCAGATGATGATGTTGCTGCAGATATTACTGTGAATGCTGTTGCAGATGTTGCTGCAGATGATGATGTTGCTGCAGATATTACTGTGAATGCTGTTGCAGATGTTGCTGCAGATGATGATGTTGCTGCAGATATTACTGTGAATGCTGTTGCAGATGTTGCTGCAGATATTACTGTGAATGCTGTTGCAGATGTTGCTGCAGATATTACTGTGAATGCTGTTGCAGATGTTGCTGCAGATGATGATGTTGCTGCAGATATTACTGTGAATGTTGTTGCAGATGTTGCTGCAGATATTACTGTGAATGCTGTTGCAGATGTTGCTGCAGATATTACTGTGAATGCTGTTGCAGATGTTGCTGCAGATGATGATGTTGCTGCAGATATTACTGTGAATGTTGTTGCAGATGTTGCTGCAGATATTACTGTGAATGCTGTTGCAGATGTTGCTGCAGATGATGATGTTGCTGCAGATATTACTGTGAATGCTGTTGCAGATGTTGCTGCAGATGATGATGTTGCTGCAGATATTACTGTGAATGTTGTTGCAGATGTTGCTGCAGATATTACTGTGAATGCTGTTGCAGATGTTGCTGCAGATATTACTGTGAATGCTGTTGCAGATGTTGCTGCAGATGATGATGTTGCTGCAGATATTACTGTGAATGCTGTTGCAGATGTTGCTGCAGATGATGATGTTGCTGCAGATATTACTGTGAATGCTGTTGCAGATGTTGCTGCAGATGATGATGTTGCTGCAGATATTACTGTGAATGCTGTTGCAGATGTTGCTGCAGATGATGATGTTGCTGCAGATATTACTGTGAATGCTGTTGCAGATGTTGCTGCAGATGATGATGTTGCTGCAGATATTACTGTGAATGCTGTTGCAGATGTTGCTGCAGATGATGATGTTGCTGCAGATATTACTGTGAATGCTGTTGCAGATGTTGCTGCAGATGATGATGTTGCTGCAGATATTACTGTGAATGCTGTTGCAGATGTTGCTGCAGATGATGATGTTGCTGCAGATATTACTGTGAATGCTGTTGCAGATGTTGCTGCAGATGATGATGTTGCTGCAGATATTACTGTGAATGCTGTTGCAGATGTTGCTGCAGATGATGATGTTGCTGCAGATATTACTGTGAATGTTGTTGCAGATGTTGCTGCAGATATAACTGTGAGCAGATATTACTGTGAATGCTGTTGCAGATGTTGCTGCAGATGATGATGTTGCTGCAGATATTACTGTGAATGTTGTTGCAGATGTTGCTGCAGATGATGATGTTGCTGCAGATATTACTGTGAATGCTGTTGCAGATGTTGCTGCAGATGATGATGTTGCTGCAGATATTACTGTGAATGCTGTTGCAGATGTTGCTGCAGATGATGATGTTGCTGCAGATATTACTGTGAATGCTGTTGCAGATGTTGCTGCAGATGATGATGTTGCTGCAGATATTACTGTGAATGCTGTTGCAGATGTTGCTGCAGATGATGATGTTGCTGCAGATATTACTGTGAATGTTGTTGCAGATGTTGCTGCAGATGATGATGTTGCTGCAGATATTACTGTGAATGCTGTTGCAGATGTTGCTGCAGATGATGATGTTGCTGCAGATATTACTGTGAATGCTGTTGCAGATGTTGCTGCAGATGATGATGTTGCTGCAGATATTACTGTGAATGCTGTTGCAGATGTTGCTGCAGATGATGATGTTGCTGCAGATATTACTGTGAATGCTGTTGCAGATGTTGCTGCAGATGATGATGTTGCTGCAGATATTACTGTGAATGTTGTTGCAGATGTTGCTGCAGATATTACTGTGAATGCTGTTGCAGATGTTGCTGCAGATGATGATGTTGCTGCAGATATTACTGTGAATGCTGTTGCAGATGTTGCTGCAGATGATGATGTTGCTGCAGATATTACTGTGAATGCTGTTGCAGATGTTGCTGCAGATGATGATGTTGCTGCAGATATTACTGTGAATGCTGTTGCAGATGTTGCTGCAGATGATGATGTTGCTGCAGATATTACTGTGAATGCTGTTGCAGATGTTGCTGCAGATGATGATGTTGCTGCAGATATTACTGTGAATGCTGTTGCAGATGTTGCTGCAGATGATGATGTTGCTGCAGATATTACTGTGAATGTTGTTGCAGATGTTGCTGCAGATGATGATGTTGCTGCAGATATTACTGTGAATGCTGTTGCAGATGTTGCTGCAGATGATGATGTTGCTGCAGATATTACTGTGAATGCTGTTGCAGATGTTGCTGCAGATGATGATGTTGCTGCAGATATTACTGTGAATGCTGTTGCAGATGTTGCTGCAGATGATGATGTTGCTGCAGATATTACTGTGAATGTTGTTGCAGATGTTGCTGCAGATATTACTGTGAATGCTGTTGCAGATGTTGCTGCAGATGATGATGTTGCTGCAGATATTACTGTGAATGCTGTTGCAGATGTTGCTGCAGATGATGATGTTGCTGCAGATATTACTGTGAATGCTGTTGCAGTTGCTGCAGATGATGTTATTTCTTATTGGAGATGTTGCTGCACATGATGATGTTGCTGCAGATATTCTGTGATGATCCACCAGAGGGGCTCTGAAGGTGAAGTCAGACCTCCGAGACAGAAATGTGTGAACAACTCTGCTTTTAGGACAACAATGATCTCTGACAGGTTGTGTTGATGTCTTCTGAAGGAAAGGTTGAGTTTAGTGGAACAGGAGTGGGTGGAGCCAGGTGTGTGTTACCTGTCAGGGACAGCGTCTTGATGCAGGTCTCCACCTGTCCTCTGTGCTGCTGCTGCAGCCAAGGACAGTCCAGCAGCCTGACGGAGGACTGAAGCAGCTGGATCACAATGGTGTGATGAGTCTGATGGACAGAGAAGGAAACATCTCAACCGACCGACCCAACAGAACCCAAGTCCAAGACGTCCTGTTCCTCACCTGCAGAGACGTGCTGTTCTCAGAGAAAGGAGAGCTGAAGAAGGCGTTGATGGTGTCAAACACCACGTTGATGATGTACTTCTCCAGGATGGGGTCAGATAGACGCTTCTCTCGTTTATTACAGACCTGCAGGAGAAGCAACACCACCATTAGAACCTGCGACAGGAGTGGAGATGCTGCTGGGGGTGTGGAAGAAGACGGACGGTAGAAACTGGACGCTTCTACTCTGTCATGCAGGTTTTTAAAGTTTCTCTGCTTCAGCACATTTTGGTGATTTCAGTTCAGCAAAAGCTGCTCTGAATGCAAACCAGCTGCTGAAGCAGAGAAACCTCTGGAACCTGCAGGACAGTGGCCCACCAGGACCGACTCGGACCTGCTGTCCTAACAGGATTAAACCTCTCCTGGTCCAGCTCTGACTGTTAGTGGGTTTGTTTGGTTCTGAACATCTGGATCTGCGGTTGTTACCCGGGCCATGTCCACCGTGAAGTCCTCAAACAGCTTCCAGATGTGGTTGGACGTGTAGATCTCCTTCATCTCCACCTCAGTGTCCACATAGCAGTGGTTCACAAAATTCACGTAAGCAACCTTCACCTGCAAATGCAGACACAGACGAGTCAGCCTCTCTGGTGGTCGGTACCGGTACCGGAACGAGCCCTGATCCAGACACCTCAGTGATGCAATCCTCGTGCGTCACCACTCGGACCACGTCCTCCAGCGGCAGCAGCGAGGTGCATTTAATCTCCGTGTAGACGTTCTTCCCCTCGGCGCAGGCAGCCAGCAGTTCCACCAGGGAGATGTGGTACCTTCAGGGAAACATGGCACCGGGTCGGGTCAAAGCAGAAGGGCACCTGCTTATCCTGGCTTCATCAGTTCTAAGAATGTTTTCTGCAGAGATGATCAATTCTCCACCTATCACCCCCCCTCCTAACCACTCTAATGTAGCTTCTATTGCTGCAGCAGAATCTGATCTAAAAATGTTCAAAAATCAAATCAGCTTTTAGTTCATTTACTTACTGGGGAAAAAATCACTACATGAATTCATAAAAAAAACATCTGATCAACAAAGACTGGAGTTGATCAGCGTTCATCACCTCCTGCTTTCCTATGAAGACATTACAGCACTCCAAAGGCCGATATTTGATGGTCCTAAGACCCCCATTAACCCCCTCCCACACTAAACCTACTCACTGTTACAATATTTACACAGCAGGTGAGTGAGAAGGAGGTAAGTGAGACGGGTCAAACACCTGCAGAGAAATGTAGCAAAGAGCGGCAACTGTGGGTCACCGTGTCTCCATGACAACAAATTCATGCTAACTGGGAGTGAAGGTGGGAAAAAACTGCTTCTGTCCTTAAAACTTAACCCTTTGCCAGACTCTTCTGCACCTTTTAGTGAGCGATATTTTCTCTCCAGTAGCATTCTGCTTCAAAGTACGCAGCTCTGCATTAAACCGAGGAGCCAGCTTTCTTTTTTTATTTGATCTGCTAAAGTGGAACCTTCTTTTGAGGGAGAAGAACTCTGTTAAAGTAATCCTGAAGGTTATTAGAAAGTGGTCAGAGAGGACAGGGTTGTGAGTAAATCCTGTTATTTCTTCACATTCTATGCCGTATGTCAGCACAAGATCCAAAGTATGAAGATGAGAATGTGTGGGACTATTCACATTTTTAACAAAGCCAATAGTGTCTAAGATAGCATTAAAGGCTGCACCTAAACCAACACAAGACTGGAAAGGTATGATTGGAGGCTGGTCGCCGTGGTTACCTCAGTGGGCTGGTCTCTCCGATGCCCTCCCTGCTCTCGGCCATCAGCTCCAACATGCTATTGAAGGAAGCTTTGTCGTTGTAGAAAACGACCACATCCTCGCCTGCGTTGGTTAGCTGCGAGGAAACAACGTGATGACATCACTGCGGAAACACAGCGGCTCCTGCAGACACAGAAGGACATGCGGTGCGCTCACCTCGGTCATGATCATGTCCTGGCATTTCTTCACGTACTTTCCCTCGGCCTTGATGATTGTGTGGAGGAAGTTGAGGTACTGGACGTGGCGGCCGTGCGTCGCCAGGCAGTGGATGAAATGCTGCAGGACGCTCTCAGAGATCTCACTGCACAGCTGGTAGTTGTTGCTGAAGATGTGCTGCACCGTCTCAGCCTCCTGCAGCTACAGGTGGCAAAAAAGATCAGAACATCCTTCAGTTAACCCCACACTGCTCACAGGTTGCCGCACAGCGGCAGCCCACTGCTCCCCAACTGGATGGGTTAAATGCAGAGGTACATTTCTCTAATGTGAGGTCTATAAAGTTCAAAAATTATTATCATTATCTCTGGACCCTCATGTGATGCATCACTTAGAGCATGAATGGATGCGCAGATGTATGTAGTATAGATCAGGGGCCGTATTTATCAAATGCTTTTTTACTCCATAGTCCTGAGAATTTGTGGAGTTTACTATGACTCTCCCATTTAAGAATAAAAGTTAATTATCAACTGTCTAAAGTCTAAGAATGAATTCAGAGACCTCCAGAGGTGTCTGTGGTGGGTAGGAGCCGCCACTAGAGGGCGACACTGAGGCCAGAGAACATGGACGTTCCTGGATCTCAAGACATTTTGGCTTTAATGATCACAGACGTGATGAGGGACGTAATCCCAGCAGGGGGCGCCTGCAGCAGAGCTTAAAGATCTGATAGGAACTGGATCACGGACTGCATTTCATTACAGATCATCACTAAACATCTGAAAAGGATCAAATAACCGGTGGCATAAGATGATCCTGTGGCCGTGCATCAATGCATCAATGATGGAGGTGAGATAACCACATGTGTTACACATGCATGGAAAGATGGCGGCCAGTCGGTAGTAAAGCTTAACTCCCAGCATGGCTGCATGTCGTCCTTAATAAACCGCTCTAAGCTCAATGCGGTTGGATAATTCAATATCCGATTTATTCGCCTGCATATCATAAACTGATTTATGATATTTAGCTTTTCAGTCATTGTTTATCCTATTAGGGAGTTTTGGGGATAAAAATAATGATTTTCAGAAGATGCTAGACTCTTTCTCAGCGTTTATAACATTTGATCATTTTCCCAACTGTCATTAATTGTTTTAATGAAGTGTGGAAACCTTCACGGGTTTAAGTTGGTGTAGGAACTTTGGTCTAACCAGAACATTGACCTGGAAGGGCGGCCATGATCGTCTTGTTCTCTCTTTGCAAAGAAAGAAAATAAAGTGCCGCCTGAGTGAATGGCCACTGATTTTATTTATTTAACTGGATTGAATATTTCTGTTCTATCAATCCCATATTTGGATGTTCTTTAATAGTCCTGCATGTTTTCAGTGAAACTTCTCTGATTGCTGCAATCCTAAAGCTAACGCTCACCAACGAGCCTCTACAAACACAAAGGAACCCCCCACCCCCACCCCCGTGTTTTTGCTGCTGCAGATCAACAACTCTGAAAAAACCTGCTCACAGAGAAATTGGAACTTTTTGGCGATACTGAGAGATTTTATAAACAGGTTAACCAGATTATTTGCTAATATTTAGGTGGAGCTAACGCTGGACCATCAGAGCAACAACTGATCAAACGGATCCATTCTGTTCACAGCGCCTACGTTCTGTGTGTGGGCGGGGCAATCCTCCTGCATGTCAGTGCTGTTCATATCGTCTTTCCTTAATCTGGAGGTAGAGGGCGCTCTGCTGACCGCAGCAACAGAACTGCTGGGAATTAGAGCTAGAATGGTTTCTATCTGCGGTGGAGAGAGATGGTGGCGTCTGTGGGAGGGTGCTGTGATCTGAAGATGGCGGCCTGAGGCGGCGTACCCCAGGGTTGAGGAAGAGGTTCAGGTTCTTGTGTAGCAGAGCCTGGTTCTCCTGGTTCCCCATGCAGAACTTCTGCAGGAACTGATGAGTGTATCTGATGATCTCCTGCATCTTCACGTCGTTCTGCAGAGAGAGAAAGAAACTAGACCAGATCTTCTTTTTTATTCCATTTCTGTTCAGAATAACAAAGGTCTACCTCCTCCTCAGAGGGCCAACAGCTCACCTTATCGTAGGAAACCTGCAGCAGGTCCAGCATCACCTTATGAGCTCCCATGTTCTTCAGTAACCTCTGCTGCTTCTTCCAAACCCCAATGCTGCACATCTTATTCAGTCTCTCCAGGATCTACAGGAGCAGGTGGAGAGCAGGGTCAGATACTCTCCAATAATCCACCAATCACAGCTCCAACCTCTTAGCTTCAATCACTTCCCTTTATTTGCTTTAGAAAAGGAACATTTCATTTGTTTTATCACTTTTGAAAATTCGACCCAGTTGCAGATTTCCTCAGATTTAGAAACAGAACAGCAGGGAGGCTTTTCTAGAAGCTTCCCAGAGAAGCTTCAATAGAAACCGATGAGGCTGTCGGTCCTGGACAGACAACAGAGAGTCTGCTGGTTCCTGCTGGTCTCACGGGGCAACAAGCAGAACCCTGGAGAGCGGCTGTTTCAAGGACCGTAACCCAGCATCACTGATCAGCTGGGCGGGAGGACGCAGGACATGTCTCCTGTGGACAGAAGAGTCTCAGCTGCAAGTCAGACTAAGCGAATCAGGTGATGGGTCATCAAGTGACTCCGGAGGGGAGGGTCTAAGTCTGGGAAATGACCCGCTGTCCCAGTCACTGGGACCGGTTAGTCTGGTTACCATGGAAACACCGATACTGCAATAAGGCTTCAGGGGAAATCAGGTTGGAGGTTTAAAGGTTTAGTGGAGGATGCTCCACGAGGAGGAATGGACTCCTGCACGAGGAGGAATGGGCTCCTGCACGAGGAGGAATGGGCTCGTTCACGAGGAGGAATGGGCTCCTGCACGAGGAGGAATGGGCTCCTGCACGAGGAGGAATGGGCTCGTTCACGAGGAGGAATGGGCTCCTGCACGAGGAGGAATGGGCTCGTTCACGAGGAGGAATGGGCTCCTGCACGAGGAGGAATGGGCTCCTGCACGAGGAGGAATGGGCTCCTGCACGAGGAGGAATGGGCTCGTTCATAAGGAGGAATGGGCTCCTGCACGAGGAGGAATGGGCTCCTGCACGAGAAGAAATGGGCTCCTGCACGAGGAGGAATGGGCTCGTTCACGAGGAGGAATGGGCTCCTGCACGAGGAGGAATGGGCTCCTGCACGAGGAGGAATGGGCTCGTTCACGAGGAGGAATGGGCTCCTGCACGAGGAGGAATGGGCTCGTTCACGAGGAGGAATGGGCTCCTGCACGAGGAGGAATGGGCTCCTGCACGAGGAGGAATGGGCTTGTTCACGAGGAGGAATGGGCTCCTGCATGAGGAGGAATGGGCTCGTTCATAAGGAGGAATGGGCTCTTGCACGAGGAGGAATGGGCTCCTGCACGAGAAGAAATGGGCTACTGCACGAGGAGGAATGGGCTATTGCACGTGGAGAAATGGGCTCCTGCACGAGGAGGAATGGGCTATTGCACGTGAAGAAATGGGCTCCTGCACGAGGAGGAATGGGCTCCTGCACGAGGAGGAATGGGCTCCTGCACGAGGAGGAATAGGCTCCTGCACGAGGAGGAATGGGCTCCTGCACGAGGAGAAATGGGCTCCTGCACGAGGAGGAATGGGCTCCTGCACGAGGAGGAATGGGCTCCTGCATGAGAAGGAATGGGCTCGTTCACGAGGAGGAATGGGCTCCTGCACGAGGAGGAATGGGCTCCTGCACGAGGAGAAATGGGCTCCTGCACGAAGAGGAATGGGCTCCTGCACGAGGAGGAATGGGCTCCTGCATGAGAAGGAATGGGCTCGTTCACGAGGAGGAATGGGCTCCTGCACGAGGAGGAATGGGCTCCTGCACGAGGAGAAATGGGCTCCTGCACGAAGAGGAATGGGCTCCTGCAAGAGGAGGAATGGGCTCCTGCATGAGGAGGAATGGGCTCGTTCAAGAGGAGGAATGGGCTCGTTCACGAGGAGGAATGGGCTTGTTCACGAGGAGGAATGGGCTCCAGCATGAGGAGGAATGGGCTCCTGCACGAGGAGGAATGGGCTCCAGCATGAGGAGGAATGGGCTCGTTCACGAGGGGGAATGGGCTCGTTCACGAGGAGGAATGGGCTCCAGCATGAGGAGGAATGGGCTCCTGCACGAGGAATAATGGGCTCCAGCATGAGGAGGAATGGGCTCCTGCACGAGGAGGAATGGGCTCCAGCATGAGGAGGAATGGGCTCCTGCATGAGGAGGAATGGGCTCCTGCACGAGGAGGAATGGGCTCCTGCACGAGGAGGAATGGGCTCCTGCATGAGGAGGAATGGGCTCGTTCACGGGGAGGAATGGGCTCCTGCACGAGGAGGAATGGGCTCCTGCATGAGGAGAAATGGGCTCCTACACGAAGAGGAATGGGCTCCTGCACGAGAAGGAATGGGCTCCTGCATGAGGAGGAATGGGCTCGTTCACGAGGAGGAATGGGCTCGTTCAAGAGAAGGAATGGGCTTGTTCACGAGGAGGAATGGGCTCCAGCATGAGGAGGAATGGGCTCCTGCACGAGGAGGAATGGGCTCCAGCATGAGGAGGAATGGGCTCGTTCACGAGGAGGAATGGGCTCGTTCACGAGGAGGAATGGGCTTGTTCACGAGGAGGAATGGGCTCCAGCATGAGGAGGAATGGGCTCCTGCACGAGGAGGAATGGGCTCCAGCATGAGGAGGAATGGGCTCGTTCACGAGGAGGAATGGGCTCGTTCACGAGGAGGAATGGGCTCCAGCATGAGGAGGAATGGGCTCCTGCACGAGGAGGAATGGGCTCCTGCACGAGGAGGAATGGGCTCCAGCATGAGGAGGAATGGGCTCCTGCATGAGAAGGAATGGGCTCGTTCACGAGGAGGAATGGGCTCCTGCATGAGGAGGAATGGGCTCCTGCATGAGGAGGAATGGGCTCCTGCACGAGGAGGAATGGGCTACTGCACGAGGAGGAATGGGCTCCAGCATGAGGAGGAATGGGCTCGTTCACGAGGAGGAATGGGCTCGTTCACGAGGAGGAATGGGCTTGTTCACGAGGAGGAATGGGCTCCAGCATGAGGAGGAATGGGCTCCTGCACGAGGAGGAATGGGCTCCAGCATGAGGAGGAATGGGCTCGTTCACGAGGAGGAATGGGCTCGTTCACGAGGAGGAATGGGCTCCAGCATGAGGAGGAATGGGCTCCTGCACGAGGAGGAATGGGCTCCTGCACGAGGAGGAATGGGCTCCAGCATGAGGAGGAATGGGCTCCTGCATGAGAAGGAATGGGCTCGTTTACGAGGAGGAATGGGCTCCTGCATGAGGAGGAATGGGCTCCTGCATGAGGAGGAATGGGCTCCTGCACGAGGAGGAATGGGCTCCAGCATGAGGAGGAATGGGCTCCTGCATGAGAAGGAATGGGCTCGTTCACGAGGAGGAATGGGCTCCTGCATGAGGAGGAATGGGCTCCTGCATGAGGAGGAATGGGCTCCTGCACGAGGAGGAATGGGCTACTGCACGAGGAGGAATGGGCTCCTGCATGAGGAGGAATGGGCTCCTGCACGAGGAGGAATGGGCTCCAGCATGAGGAGGAATGGGCTCCTGCACGAGGAGGAATGGGCTCCTGCACGAGGAGGAATGGGCTCGTTCACGAGGAGGAATGGGCTCGTTCACGAGGAGGAATGGGCTCGTTCACGAGGAGGAATGGGCTCGTTCATGAGGAGAAATGGGCTCCTGCACGAGGAGGAATGGCTCGTTCACGAGGGGGGAATGGGGTCCTGCACGAGGAGGAATGGGCTCCTGCACGGGAGGGAAAGGGTCCTGCACGAGGAGGAATGGGGTCCTGACGAGGAAGGAATGGTCCCGCACAGGGGGATGGGCTACTGCAGAGGAGGAATGGGCTACTGCACGAGGAGGAATGGGCTCCTGACGAGGGGGAATGGGCTCCCACGAGAGGAAAGGGGCCCCCAAAAGGGGGAAAAGGGGGTCCCGCACAGGAGGAATGGCTCCCGATGAGGGGGAATGGGGGTCCTTCGGAAAATGGGCCGTTCACGAGGGGGAAAAGGGGCTCCGCACGGGAGGAAAATGGGCTCCCCCAGGAGGAATGGGGTCGTTCACGAGGGGGAATGGGTTGTTTTACGGAGGAGGAAAGGGCTCCTGCCTGAGGAGGAATGGCTCGTGCACGAGAAGGAATGGGGTCCCGCACGAGGGGGAATGGGCTCGTTCACGGGGAATGGGCTCCTGACGAGGAGGAATCCCCTACAAAATCCTCCTTTTACAAAATTCCCCCCCCAAAAAACTCCTCCAAAATTTCCCTCCTCTCTCCAAAATCTTTTCCTCTTAAAATTCCTCACAAAATTCCTCACAAAATTCCCACAAAATGGCTTTTCACAAAAATCTCCTCCAAAACTCTTCATAAAAATCTCCCCCCCAAAAATCTCCTCAGGAAAAAGGGTACTGCACAGAGGAATGGGGTATTGCACGTGGAGAAATGGGCTCCTGCACGAGGAGGAATGGGCTATTCCTGAAAAAATGGGCTCCCGCACGAGGAGGAATGGGTCCTGCACGAGGAGGAATTGGCTCCTGCACGAGGAGGAATGGGCATACGGGGGAATGGGCTCCCCCCGCACGAGGAGGAATGGGCTCCTGCCGAGGAGAAATGGGTCCTGCACGAGGAGGAATGGGCCCTTTCCTGCCAAAAATCACTCCTCCCGGGGGAATGGGCTCCGCAGAAAGGAAAGGGGTCGTTCACGAGGAGGAACGGGCTCCTGCACGAGGAGGAATGGGCTCCTGCACGAGGAGAAATGGGCTCCTGCACGAAGAGGAATGGGCTCCTGCACGAGGAGGAATGGGCTCCTGCATGAGAAGGAATGGGCTCGTTCACGAGGAGGAATGGGCTCCTGCACGAGGAGGAATGGGCTCCTGCACGAGGAGAAATGGGCTCCTGCACGAAGAGGAATGGGCTCCTGCACGAGAAGGAATGGGCTCCTGCATGAGGAGGAATGGGCTCGTTCACGAGGAGGAATGGGCTCGTTCACGAGAAGGAATGGGCTTGTTCACGAGAAGGAATGGGCTCCTGCATGAGGAGGAATGGGCTCCTGCATGAGGAGGAATGGGCTCGTTCACGAGGAGGAATGGGCTCCTGCACGAGGAGGAATGGGCTCCTGCATGAGGAGGAATGGGCTCGTTCAAGAGGA